TATATATATACACACACACACACACACACACATATATATAAACTTGATGAGTAATATTTCGAGTCGAACACGAACGAACACATCTTAGTTCGTGTTCCGCTCGTTAACTTATCGAACAAAATTAACGAGCCAAACACTAGCTTCTTAACGAGCCGAACACAAGCTGTTCGCGAACAACGAGCCGTTTTGACAGCCCTAATAAGAATAATGGGTATATATGAAAATGTTTCTAAATTATTTTATTTTATTATTAATATTCATTTATTTATATAATTAGTTGGTCCACTTAAGAAAGAGATTCATTTAGCCCTCATTAAACACATTAGAAAGAACGTATCATGGATCAATATACTATAATTTTTTTTAGTTTTATATATAGTTTTGTTAATGGAAATTTATTGAGAATTTCATTGAATTTGTATGAATGTAGATTTGTGCTTCTCTTTAAAATAAATTCTCAAGCATGTACTAATTCTATAGCTAATCAGAAGTATTGTATGCAGGAAGATTCGCGGCAACAGAGTAATTATTTTGTGTATTAATGTTATACAAGAGGTAAAATTTTTCTATGAGAAAAATCCAAAAAAGGCAAAAAACCAAGGGGTCTAGCTCAAGCAGAATGATTCATTATAAATTGGTGAATTAATGTACAGACCTTTGTCCCACAGACAGTAAAGGGTTAGGCGGCTCCTCAAAAAATAATGTTCGTGTGTAAAATGGCATATTATAAAATGGCTATGTACAGTTGCAATTGGAAGCAGTTGTCAAGACTTTGGTGTGTCGTCTTTGATGTGCGTTGTTATTCAGACTTCGGGACAATGTGCTGCTCCGTAGTTGTCTTGTTCCTCCACAAAGTAAGTTGTTACTTTGCACAGTGATTTGTTGCAATAAGTAGGGGTGACCAACGGTGGTCTATGGCAGTTGGTGATGCGGTGGATCTGTGTATATTATTTTTGCAAATATTTTTCAATATTACAAAATACACACAGTAGTTATAATAATAAATATGCAATATAAACTCAACAAAAATAACTTTAATAAAATAATTTTATATTTTAAAAATATTTATACTGTCAAATCCCCTAATAATAATGCAAGTATACGTATTGCTCAAATAATAAAGGACTCTAATGGAGTCCTAAATATCGATCCCACATGGAAGTTAGAAATGTTTGTAGATAAATTCTTATGAATATAACTGATTATAATATAAATCACAATTTAAACTATAAAACTAAAGTATGAAATTCGAATCAAAAGTATATGAGTGAACGCTAAATAAAATGCAGTTAAAAGAACTAAGTTAATTAAATTAATTGTTAAACTTTCAAAAGTTTAAACTTTCATCAAAAGTAAACTTACGAAAACTAAATAAAATTTTTGTGATGAAGAGTTCAAATTTAAGAAAGCATGTTTCCCCTTTACAATCAATACATGGATTGTGAAGAAATTAAAATTATTTGAAATTATATAAAAATTGTTTTGTATTAAATAGGAGCAATCATATTCTTTATTCTCTTTCAAGTGCATAAAGAATATTGACTAATCCCGAGTTTGGTTCCTAATTTCGTGGTTTGGCTAGAAGGATATCGGTTGTCACTCTAGAGCTCTCATTAATCCATCAATTGAGGGCTGACAATCTCCCATTAGTTTTCAATCAACTGGACTAAATTGGAAATTTTAATATGTCACCTTAAAATCTCCAACTCTACATTCAATAAAGTATGTTTTCTTATTTATTTCCACTCAACCCCATGGATGACATCCTCTCCCTTTGAATCAAATATGATTCTCAGTATGTTGTAGAAATCATAGCCCTTTCAGAACATATGTTTCTCAACATATTTTAACATTTTAATTGGCCAGATCAAATAATAAATGAAGATCAATGTTTGAATCATCACAAATTATTGACATGTAAAACTGTATAAAACAAAATCAATTCTTCACAAAACCATATTTTAAATTAGGGAGAAGGAAAAAGAAAACTACTCAGAATTCATGAGAATGAAACAACAAAACACAGATTTCATATATAAAAATAAATTTACAAAAATGAAGAAATAAAAGACAACTTATCTCACACTCATTCCCAAGTAAATTCCCAGAAGTTCTCTTCAAGCACTTTCCCTCTTTACAAGCACTCTCAATTTCTTCTTAGAAGTGTAATGAAGAAGAAATATCTCACATTTCATTTCCTCTTACAATCTTTGAAAAAAAATCTCCAAGCCCTTGATTGTCTCTCTCTCTCTCTTCTTCTTCTTCAAACACTCTCTCAAGCCTCTCTTCAGCACCCCCCCCCCCCCTCTACAGCCCTAGACTTCCCTCTCTTCTGTTAGTGGTTGCCCCCCTCCAAAAAGAATTCAAATTCCCTCCAAATTTTATCTAAAAGCCAACCCTTTTGAATTTTAAAAGATATATATATTGATTCAAGAGACATATCCCCTCACAAAATAGTCTTCCAAAGTGTCTAGATGCATTGAATCACTCCATGGGGTATTTAGAACAAATTGACCTTTCGAAATTCACGCAAAATTTGTTATGAATCGCCTTAATTCGCAAAAAAGTCATCTCTAACGGCTTAAGAACTAGTTTTGGCGCTTCAGGCGCCAACTTCCTTAAAACCGCGTAGTTCTGGGTTTTGGCGCTTCAGGTGTCAACTCTTTGTAAAATGGCGCTTCAGGCACCATTTCTGGCACTTCAGACGCTATTTCTGGGGCTTCAAGTTCCAGCTCTCTGTAAAGCGGTGTTTTTAGTGCTAGAATTTCAAAATTCACTATTTTAACTCCAAATTTTGTCATTTTTGCTACTTTTCTCTAAATGCCTAAAATTGATATACCTGCAACAAAAACATAAAAATACTACTCTTTAAAGTGTAATATCACCAAAAATAAGAATTAAATGTATACTTAAAACAACACGTTATTTTGGTGTATCAGGTGGTTGTTTGCGGGAGTTGGATGTGTTCTTCGGGTCATTTGTTTAGAACAATGCAAGAACTTGGTTCCTTCTTCTTTGTTTGGTTCATGGTCAACCATGAAGGGCTTTATTTATAGAGTTTGAGCTTGACTTCCTTTATAAATAAGAAAGAAATCTTGATCATTCCATCGGATGACCCAAAGATATTCCCACTATAGGACGATGTTTTATAGACGTTTTAGTATCTTAATAATCTCAATCTTGAGTAATCTTGAGCTAATTGGATTCAACTCATTGATACACTCGATTTGACTATACATTTTTCACATTTATAATTCGTTAAACTTTCCAATTAGTTATCCAAAACTTTCAAAAGTGGTTTAACAACTTGATTCGAGCTTGACTTGACTCGGATTGAGTCAATTTTGATATCATTGTGTTTGTCTCGTCGAGCAAGCCAGTTGATTATAAGTTTGTTTAAATCATATTCCTAGATGATTTAACTTTTTGTTTGAATATTTCTTACTTAAAAATCTGAGATTTGTGCTAAATGCCTTAAGATTTTTGCCAAATGGTAAAATTTGTTGATGGTGTATCAGTTGCTCCAAAAATTTCAAACGATTTCACTTGTATCAGCCAAAAAATATTATATTAATAAAAATCAGACCAAAATAAATTTAAAAAGTTTGGATATTCAAGCGGTAGTTGATGGTGGCGACTGGTGGGTGGATAATGGGTGCCATAAGTGGATGGTGGAGGCTGACGGTGGACGGTGGCATCAGATTGAGACTAGCGTTGTGGTAGGAATGTGGTGGTTAGTGATGTTAGGCAGGAGCAGCAGCGATGGGAGCCTGTGAGAGCATGACAGCGGGCCATGCAGGATGGTAGAGTGGACAGGCGGGCTGGTGGATGCATGAAGATGTGATGGGCCAGTAGAGCTGGTCGGTGGGTCGACAATGGTGTTGGTCGGCAGGATCAGGTGGTGGATGGCACTAGCGGTACGAGACAAATTAAGCAAATGGTAAGCGACCAAAGGTCGCGCGATGTCCTCTACCCCCTGTGACGTGTGACTAAGATTTATAGTTGGCAAATGGTATGATTTGGATGAAGAGGATTCTTCGCATGGGGGTTGATCTAAATAATGAGAACGTGCAGGCGCACAATTTTTGGTTTAGACACATAATTTTCATGTGAAGCTATGCAAGTCATTTGTTTTCACATGGGTTAGATGTTATGTTTCTATCGTTCGATTGTGTGAAATTAGACATCTTACATGG